GGGGGGGGGGGGGGGGGGGGAGAGATTTGCCATTGGGAGTGCTAGGACTTCATAACGATAGGGTCGCTGGCAGGGCGCTCGGCCCTCTAAACGTCAACAGGAACTGCTTGGAACATTAGGTACCCTTCGCGCAAGATTTGGGACCTTCCACATTGTCGGTCTCGTCAGTCTGTACTAGTCTGTGGGGTTCCATGGTGAGTCTGGGTACGGCCGGTACGTTTCCCATCACTATGGTACCCACACAGGAGTCCACACATGGGGAAACCTAGACTGCGGTAGGATCCGAAGAGGGAAATGCTGTGCACACACAGGGTGTTAGTATTGGGCACAGTGGTGGGCATTCTTGATTCCAGAGGTAACACATGATGCCTGTGAGATGACTCTTCATCCAGGTTGGGGTCCATTGGGAATTCTCATTGGCGGAATTAGCTGGATTGGGGCCCTTCGAGGGGAGCCTGGGACAGGGGGAGGGGGGCATCATACTTTGGAGGGACGGAGGGACATCGCACCTTAAAGGAAAGGTGAGTGGTTCGCTGCCTACTACAGTCTACGGGATGAGGCACAGATGGGGATGACCGCATCTGTGAGGACCCCACCTCTGCCTGTGTCGTCCCTGACATTAGAGTTAGGGAAGCATCTGCATGAAGACGTTCGGGTCAGTCCGGTAAGCGTCGGCGCAGATCACAACTTGCGATCTGAGCACTACCGGCTTCCCCCGAACACAACGCACCCTCGTTTTGGCTGTATCTGGACGGAAATATAGCTTGTATACTTTCATTGTCAGGGTGCGTTATGTTATGTTCGGAGGAAGACGGTAGTATAGGTCATGTCATCATGGTGCCACTTTGAGGCGATTCCTCTCAAGGCCCTAGCAACCCATCTGACCCCCCAATGGCACCTGAGGCCTGCCCGCCACCCACTACTACACCGTGACACGCAGAAATTGAGAAATGCTCCAAATTTTTAAACACAGCGGCGCACAGATCATTAAGAAAACGTGAGCTGTTATTATTAACAAAAAAAATTATCGAGTTGTTAATTTCCACCAAAATTTTGATTTCCTGGCAGTGTGCTAATTCCATGCGAATTAGTAAAGAGAAGCATGTGCCCATCACAACAACAAAAAAAAAAAAAAACATGATGCAAGACCTCCACTTGGAAAGGCAGGCTCTATCAAGAGGACCGAAACAAAATCTCAAATGCGTAAAACATGAGACACAAAAGGCACGAAGGCAGCAATACAAATTGCTCAAAATACTTCACGCAAATCTATTTTACTATAATCGTCACCTACAATGAAATGCTATGATGATATATCCAGTTCACCACCACCCCTGGCCATTAAAGAGAAGAGTGTCTCAACTCCCAAGCACCGACGCAGAGAGACTGAAGCAAGTAGGATTAAGATCAGAGCCTGCGAACCCTTCAAGCCAAGACACGTTTTTTTCTATCCTTGGGTCAGGGATATGACATTGCATGTCAGCACAGGAGTGTAACATCGACTCCATCGCGAAATGGTATAAACCATAAAAGCCAGTACACGTCCCCAGCCTTGCAGAAAGCCGCAGGTCGCCAGCTCCGGACTTTTCGGGGCTCGGGGCTATCGGACTACAATATGTCAAGCGCCGCCAGCCAAAAAAAAAAAAAAAAAAAGGATGGCGCTGGCAGTTCGGAAACGCTTGGCGCACGGTGAAGCGCCTCCAGGCCCGGGTGCACTGGCGGTTTTTAACCCTAATAAAGGGTGACACAACCATAAAACTTACACAGATCTAGAACAAACCCTCAGCCATGATACTTCACGAGCGCGGAAGTAGTACCATCTTGAAGGCAAGCAATTGGCAGATGCAACCAGATCAGGCTACACAGCAGGACTTTTCAACTGACCTCTGACTGCAAATTGCGTTCAGATGCATCCTGGTCTGACCATAATCCTAGTCAGATACATTTCAAAGAGCACTTATTGTGAGCATTATGCCCTTGTTCAGCGGGTTCGCCGCAATATGTCCTTTCTCCAAACACCACAACACATCCAGAGATCAACATCACCTCAAAACCCAGCCTTTCATCCAATCCATGGTACGTACCCATCCAGGTGCGGTGTTGCCTTGAATGTGATGAAAAATTGCGAACCGTTTGTGTTGGGACCAGAGTTCGCCATCGATAAAATCCCCGCTCCGCTGTGAAGCTGCTTGAAATTCTCGTCTGTATTCAGGACGTAATAAGGCCACACGGAAAAATGACAATCGTCTTTGAGCCACACCGAAAAATCACAATAGTCCTCATTACCACCATCGCCGTCGCTTATAAACCTGGTGATATATCCCTCCACCGCAGAAGGCCCTATGTTCATCCTGGAATCCTACCACATCGCTTGTGGTCCCACGCCAGCTTTTTTTCTTTTCTAATTTCGACCCTTTTTCCATTTATGCGTGTCATCCCACTCCAGCATGTTTTCAAAATCTGATAGATTGGGTTTTCTAAAAAACACACACCGCCACTGTCTTCACCCGAATACAGCGAACAGTCATTCTCACCATATCTAGACGGGATCTAGATGGGAAGTTGCCCTAAATACAGCTATAACGAGCATACGTTATATTCCAAAAAACACGGTACCTTCTTCGCCTAAACGCAATACCCCGGCATCATGAACGTATTTGGACTCGAACAGGTTTGCATTCATTCATATGATAATCGGGCAATAGACGGATGTATGTTCTTCAGAGGAAGGTAGCTCTGTATGAACAATCTTCTTCACCAAACCCTGACCTTGACGAGACCTTTTGTTCTTACCTGTAAACCAGCGACATGAAGTTGGAATCGCTAGTAATCGTGGATCAGCATGCCGCGGTTGACTACCTGTTACGACCACACTGATTACCAGGCGGCCTGCCCGTTGACGTGTTGGATCGTCGTTGCATCGACGATCGACACCCACAGTGCTTTCTTTCTCCGCAGCGGGTGTTGGCCTGATGTTTCAAGAGATGGTTGTTGGTTTTAAAAACAAAAAAGATAAACTGGGTTAAGGCCAACATCCCCGCCACCAAATTAAGGTGTTCTGCCTCAACAGGTTTCATACTCTACCGTCTTCCCCCAAACACAACGCACCCTGATTTTGGACATATACGAGCTATTCCAATTGTCCAACATAGTCGTGATGAGGCTGCGCAACGTTCAGGGGAAGACGGTCGACTCACTTCAGCTTGATGTTATCCCGTGACGGATGATTTGCTCTGCCAAGACGCAGAATTAGGGTGAGATCTCCGGGCACAATACAGACCTCAACATCTGTTCACTTCATATTATAGATGGGTACTGCAGTACACAGAACGAGTGTTGGCTGACACTAAAGACTGGCCAGGAATGAGCAGTGTGGTTAAGATCGCACCCAAATCTTTGCTGAAGTTGGTCATAAGCGGAAAAACATTAATCCTGCCACCTCAGCAGCTCACTGGCAGACTGCAGATACAAGAAAGTACACGGGTCGTCACACCCGACTATACACAAAAGCAGACAGAGGAAGGAAACAGAACGAAGTTGGATAAAGGCACAGAGTCCATCATATTTGTTTTCTAATTTGTTTGTTTGTTTCCTAGTTTGATTAGGGGAACCTGCGGCTGGATAGACTCCTTTCCAGTTGGTTTCCTAGTTTGATTGATTGATCGACAGACGTTGGGAACAACCCACCATCATATTCAAGCATATACGGCAGCAATACAAAAGGCCACCAGCAGCATAATATCTCGTCTCATCATGGGTTGCCTCAAAAGTTTCAACGGCACAAATATACAACGGAAGGAAAGAATGGACCTGCACTGAACCGGCCACAACAGCACAAGCATCAAGGGACCCACAGACCCATCAGAGTAAAAAAGGGGAGAGCAGGTCATGGCCCGCATCATCAACAAAGTCGCTCTCTGCAGACAATCCATCCATGCATGGCATGCCCGGTGTCAACGCTACTGACGTTATCCGCCAGAAAACGCTTTCACTAAGCAGACCCCATACATATATTGTCACATTGTGAATCAGAGCGCAGAAGCGAAAAAAAGGGGAAAGAAAAAAGGAAAAGGAAAAAAGGGAAAGGGAAAGAGTAAAGGAAAGCTCCACCTGTTCATAACCTCTTACGTACAAGGCCAGCCACGTGGATGACAGGTTGAGCGCCCCCATCCGCGTGTGTCACAAGGACCCACTTGCGCGCAGCCAAAAGCCAAAGAGGTAAAGAAAAGGAGGAGGAAACCAAACCTGACAGGGAAAGAAAAGATAATCCAATTATCACAAAGCAAATAACACATCCCACAGATCAACGTGTCCTTTATCTTTTTTTCTCTTTTTTTCTTTTTTTCTTTTCTTCTTTTTTTCTTTACCTGTCCTCACCTCGGCAGATAGGACAGCTACGGTGAGGATGATGTGGATGTTCACAAGGATGCCCAAGGAGAGCTGCGCCAGCACAGCATTCTGCAGGACGGCTAGCACGAACCATCCCATCAAAACAGTCCTGACAGAGGACATGTTGTCCACATGTCAAAAACACAGCAGGACGTTCATCACAGTGCGGCATCATACAGTTCTGATAGCGTCCTTGGGCACAA